TTTTTTTTTTTTTTTTTTTTTTTTTTTGAATTTTGGGGGTTTTTGCCCTCCTTTTTGGCCCCTGGTGATGCTGGTGCCGCTGCCCCAGCCAGGACCCTCCGTCCTCCCCTGGTCCCCAAAATAACTCATACCGACCAGGACGCTCACGGCAAGTTCTTTTTTTCTCTCTTTTTTCATTTGTTTTTCTCTTCCCCCCTCCTTTTTTTTTTTTCCCTTTTTTTTTTTCCTCTTTATTATTTTTTTTTCTCCATGTCCCCATTGCTGACGCTGAACGCCGGGACTCTCCGGGAGCTAAAATGTCGGGAACGGGATGTAGAAAGACGTTCCGGTTTAAAATCCACAGGCTTAAAAAAAGACGAGCGGTTTGGGCAAAGGCGAGCGGCGACGGCGGCACCGGCACGGGTCTCACTGGTGGCACCAGGATGGGCCCCATCGGTGGCACCAGGATGGATCCTGTTGGCGTCACCGGGATGACTCTCATCGGTGCTACCGGGATGGGTCCCATTGGTGGCACCGGGATGGGTCCCGTCGGTGGCACTGGGATGGGTCCCGTTGGTAGCACCAGGATGGGTCCCGTTGGTGCTACCGGGATGGGTCCCATTGGTGGCACCAGGATGGGCCCTGTCAGTGGCACCAGGATGGGTCCTGTTCATGGCACCGGGATGGGTCCCATTGGTGTCACCAGGACAGGCCCCATTGGCAGTACCAGGACGGGCCCCATCGGTGGCACCAAGATGAGTCCCATTGGTGGCRCCAGGATGRGTCCCRTTGGTGKCACCRGGATGRGTCCCRTTGGTGKCAYCRGGATGGGTCCCGTTGGTGTCACCGGGATGGGTCCCATTGGTGGCACCAGGATAGGCCCCCCTTGGCATCACCGGGAAGACACGTCGGTGTGAGCGTTGGCTCCTCCTTGGATGCATCCGAGGGGGGTCCCTGGTGCCGGTGCCGGTGCGGCCGCGTTGGGAAGGGGATGGAGATGGCGTCGGGCGCGGGAAGGAGGCGGGCGGGCGCGCGGGCGCTTAAAGGCAGGAGGCCGCGGGCGGCAGCGGGTGCCGGCGGGCGCTGGCGCAGAGCAGCAGCAGCAGCTGCAGCGCGAGCAGGACGCCCAGCGAGGGCGCCAGCGAAGCCCCGCGGCCACAGTCTGAGGTATCTTCCTGCGGGGGGAAAAGGGGGCTGTGTGCGAGGGGCACGGTGGGGCTGTGGGGTGGCAGCCTGCTGACCTGCACCCCATAACCCCCCTGCCCTGCACCCCATGGCAATGACCCCCAGGGGGGCACCCATAGCCCCGCTGCCCTGCACCCCATGGCAATGACCCCCAGGGGGGCACCCATAACCCCCCTGCCCTGCACCCCATGGCAATGACACCCCAGGGGGGCACCCATAGCCCCACTGCCCTGCACCCCATGGCACTGGGGTCCCATGGCACTGAAACCCCCATGTGGGCACCCTGTGGCCCCGCTGTTCCAGGGCCCCCATGGCATGGAACCCTATGAACCCCACTGCCCCATGATCCCCCATGGCACTGCTGTCCTGCACCCCATGGCAATGACCCCAGAGCCCCAGAGCCCTGCTGCCCTGCACCCCATGGCACTAACACCCTAGGAGGGCACCCCATAGCCCTGCTGCCCTTCACCCTACATCACTGCTCCTCAGGGTCCCCATGGCACCATTATCCGGGCACCCCATGGCTTGGACCCCCTAGAAGGTCACCCCATAGCCCTGCTGCCCCCGGAGCCCCATCTCGCTTGTTGCCCACGCGGGCGCCCCATGGCCCCGCGCCCCACGGCGCCCACGCACTGTTGCATTGTAATCGAAGCAGATGTGGGGGCCTTTCCGGTAGCGCGGCCTGTCCACCAGCTCGCACTGGTTGGGGTCCCGCGGCGGAGCTTGGCGCCGGGTCAAGGAGACAACGGGAGGCTGGCGGGGGACCCCCCCATCGCCCTCCCCACTGCCACAGCCCCCCATGGCAGCGGCCGGCGTCCCCCACACGGCTGAGGATACCCCTTATCTCCGCCTGGAGCAGCTTGACGGACTCGCACTGGCTGCACATGGGCTTGTCGGCCACCACGAAGAGCAGGTTGGTGTTGGCCAACCTCTGCGCGTGGAAGAGCCTGCAGGGCGCAAGGGGCCCCGCGTTGGCCGGGGCGGCACCGCGGGCGCCGCCGCGACGTGTCCCACCGGTGGGGAGGACACCCCACCTGGAGCAGTTGCCGCAGTCGATGATGGCGTTGTAGGTGGCGTTGACGGTGCTGAAGTAGTACTGCGTCTGCTTCATGATGCAGCTGGTCTCCCGCGCCTCCGCGCCGTCCGCCGCCACGTCCTCTGCGGGTGGTGGGACGTGGGGCCGCGGCGCCCGCCGCCCCGCCGGGACAGCGCCCGCGCCGCCCAGCACGCGACTCACCTGTCTGGAACCAGCTGCTGTAGGTGAGGCCGTAGAGGAACTGCTGGAACAGGGACCTGCGCAMGGAGAGAAGGGCTGGCGAGAGGGTGGCACCTGGACCAGCCAGGAGGCCACCAGCAGGGAGGCCCGGGCCACCGAACGGGCTCCCAAGGGCAAGAGCCAGGGTGCGGGTGTCACCGCAGAGAGGCCGGTGTCCCCGCAGGCGCACTCACCAGGCGGCCGCCGAGGTCCACCAGGCGAGGTTGAGGAAGTCGGCCATGGTGGGCTAGGGGCGAAGCGGAGCGAGGCGCTGAGCCCGCCCGGTGGCGTCGCCCGGCGCGCGCCGCGCCCGGCGCCGCGGCCACTCACCACGAAGACGCCGCGCGGGGCGGCGCCCGTGTTGCTCTGCGCCTCGGGYGCGCACACCGACTGGAAGTCGTAGGACTCCTTGCGCGCGTAGAAGGAGTGGTTGTAGAGCGCCGACATGAGGTTGGCGTCCACCTCGCTGAAGAACTTGCCCACCTGCGGCACAAAGAGGGACACAAAGGGAGGTTGAGGCCAGCGCGCCGGKCTCCTGAGCCTCAGCTACTCCATATCCCATGGGACGTTGGGTTTGAGCCTCCTTGGGGTCACTCATGGGGCACAGGGTGAACAAGGAGCTTTGGGAGGCCCACCTCACCTGGAACCAATGGTCCTCCTGGTTGGAGAGCACCAGGAAGCCGCCGTCGTCGATGAGGACGCAGAGGAGGTCCTGGGGAAGGAGGGTGGTGGTGGGGACGGGGCAGGGTGGCCGGGCAGGGCGCGGGCGCCGCGTGCCGCCCCCCGTCCCACCTTGTTGTTGGCCTCGCAGTCCATCTCGCAGCTCGTGGAGGGGTCGCACTGTGGGGCGGAGCGGAGGCCGTTAGCCCCACAGTTGGGCCCGGCGAGCCCCATGGGATGGGACGGGATGGGACGGGATGGGTGCCCTACCCTGCGTGCGCCCAGCTGGTCCCGGTCCGTGCGGTTGCTCGCCAGCACCTTGAACTTCTCGGCCCAGGCCTCCAGGTCGAGCTTCACCCCGACCACTGCGGGCGAAGGGGGCGGTGAGGCTGCCGCCGCTCGGCCCCACGGCGCCCGCCCGCCCGCGCCGCCCCGGCCCACCTGCGGGCTTCAGCGTCCTGCCGCCGATGCTGAGCTCCACGGCCGTGCTCACCAGGATGCCCACGGTGCCGTTGTCCAGCTCCAGCCCCCGGTCGGCGGCTGCGGAGGCCGCCCGTGAGCCCCGTGGCGGCTCCCCTCGGCGCCCGCCCCATAGCGCCCGGCCCCAGAGCACCCACCGTCCCGGTAGGGCGGCTTGAACACGTAGCCCTTGTTGTCCAGGCTCCTCCGGTAGAAG